TGTAGACTGGAATTTTATATAATAGTATATGACAATAGTTCAGTATAGTTCACTTGACTTGATCTTTTATTGACACTCATGTACATAATGTTTACAAGCATTCCTTCAGTATGTTTGAAGAAAGTGCGACTTATCCTCGTAGCCCAATCAACTAAATGTCGTGAGTTTGTGTATTGACTTATTCCTTAAATAATATACTGAATATTTCTTAATAAAAATTTGAATGAATGTAGGAGTATAAATGTGAAAGAAAACTTATAAAGTCATTCTCAGTGAAGCGGTACACACATCCCTAAAGTTTACAGTTCCACAGCTACTCAACATTTATGCTGATCATTTTGGTTTTAATGGACTTGACTAGCTGTAGGATGAGGTCAGCCATCTAAGACAATTCTTCTTTCGACTTGCATGAGACATTAGCCAATTACCCAATTTTCCTCAAAAGGGACTAATTTAATTAGCATGCTGCTTCTTCCGTTCACTAAGAATTTTATCGTTATTAGTTTTTTTGCTTGATTTTGCGCATATCATTTGAGTACATTATTTACAAAAGTTTGGTTTTGATACCACTACATTCTACTGTTTCAAGCGATATGATATGGTATAAATCAATGAAATAGACTTGTATCTAAGGTATGGAATGCTATACATATAGATTTTTTTATCAACTTTTTGGGTAAACAGTGATAATCTTCAGTTACATGTCACTAATATAACCCTTAAGCAAAATGTGTCAGTAATCAACTAATGCACGTTCCAGTTTCTGAAGAGTTTCATTTTTCCAAACAATTCATCAAACGGAACTGTAAACTAGTATCAACTCTTTCAGTAAGTTTAAGAAACTATAAAAAAATCAGGTTGTTCAACTTGTTTAAAAATGTAACCTTGACCAGTTATTGAAGAAATTTTATATTTAAGATTTTTCTAATCTAATAAATATTGTTCTGTTTATTTTTCACAGTAATTCTCATTAAACAGTAAAAGATGTGTGGTAAATTTATTTCATATGGGTGCTTTTCTGAAATACAGCAAAATTAACATAATAATCAATAATTACATCAATAAAACTAATAAAGAATCGTTCATTGTGGTTGCTTCAGTGATAAACTATCTGTATAGACCAAAAGGACTATAAGTTTTAACTTCATTTCAGATCCATTATATATGTGAATACATTTTTCAGAAGGTCCTGATATTTTAGTTGAAATAAATGTCCAATACTGTAATATTTGTTACATTGTACTCTTTAATTGATATCTGTTTATGATATTCTATCAGCTTTAAATTAAATTATTTTTATTTCACTAATGTGTAAAAAGATGGATAAAATGATTTATTTATCTACTGAGTATTTTCTTAATCTACATTGTTTTTAGGTGGACCATGTTTTCATAATGTGGATTATGCAGCACAATTTCTTACAGCCTATATGCATAATCGTAATCATGATTTATTACAAACTATTCTTACTGTACAATCACTTCAACCGGATACATCATCAAGATCAATATATGAAGAGAAAAAACGAAATCATTATAAAATGATGGATATATCAATTTATATTACATCATTATTAATTTGTATATTATTTCTAATATTTTTATTCGGTGTACTATTTACTGTGAATCATTTTCAACATCAACGTACAAAGTGTCATTTACATTCAACTGGATCATTTCATGGTAGTGGACGTTTAGGACAAAAAATGATTAAAAAAGTTTGTTTTGTTAAATTATTTTTATTTCATTTAACTTTTAACGAAGAAACATTTTAATATTTGACTTATTTTAAATAGTTTCTAGCAATGAACTCTGGGTTAATTGTTTTTTAAAACACGTACGTATAAACATATACGCTGAGATGTAGGTGCATTCATTTGAAGAGTCTTACATTTGATGGAATATTCCAACTTGAATCCACCCTAGTCGAAACCGCAAACAAGCTATAAAGGTACATAACACAGGTATTTGCTTAAGTTGTTCCAGTACTAGTGAGTATATAGTTGTTAAGTAGTATAGTGAATTCGTAGAGACTGTTAACTATAAAATATTACATCAAGTTGAATGCACAATACATTAGTTTCCCATTTTGAAAAATTGATAATAAAATATTGTGCTTGTTGCTTATTGTGTTGAGAATTGCTTTGATATAAATCATAGTGTTATTATGAAGTTAAAACTGATATTTATCTAGTAGACTGCTTATAAATGCTAATATAACCGGAAAAATTTGTGATGCACAAATGGAATGATAATTTTCTGAACGAATTAAAAAACAAGAAGTTTAACAATTCATGAATAAAAGAACAATATAAAAGGATGTATTTTAATTAAAAGTACAGTCAAGCAGGATTTATTACAGTTAGGGAGATTCTTTTCGCTTTCTGGAGAATTTACCACGAAATTACAGCAAGATTGACTTTGGCTTAATTTGTGAGTTGTATCTGACAACTTCTCAAGTAACTGAATTAGATGATCTCAAGGAGTCCAACTGGTGATTCATAATGGGCTTTCTAGTGTCAGTCCGATATAAAGTTATCTAGACCACCACAGCATCACTTCATAAATCAAACACCTCTTCGCTTTTCCCCCCAAGTTTCGAGCATATAACCAGCCAAATGAAAAGCTTTAGTATAGCAATTCTACAAGATTTCCGGACCACGGAACTCATCATTTCAAGATAGTGCAAACAGTCAGACACACTTATTTTCATATCTCAGCATTAGTAACATGTTATTGCCACTTTATGTGATCGATCCTTCAAAGGCAACATAAGTCGAACATAGAGAGTCCCCGAGCCACCGAAACAGAAAATGAATAATGAGACTGGGCAAAGCTGCTTGAATCCCACTTAAATAATGGGAAGTACGGTGGTTGTATACCCTGGTTTTACTGAGAAATCTGTATATAAGGCTTTCAAGATGTTGATAAACTTTGCACATAAAAAAGTGGTCAACAAAAAAGTGGTGGTGACCTCAGGTGTGACAAAAGATAACACTAAACTTTTAAAAGACAAAGTTTCATTTCAGATTGATTTTATTGTTCTAGCGGCTTTTATGCATATATTTTAATTGTTTTCCTTTTCAGGTTCTTAAAGCAAAAATCTGGTATCCAAGTCCTGGTCTTATCCGCAATTCTCGAATAGTTCATAATCCACCAAATATTTGTAAATCTTCAAAATTCACTGATGATCCTACTAAGTATTTATCATCAAAGCTACCAATACTGGAACAACACTCAACAACCACAACAACCACTTCATATGAGGAACAGATAAGTGATGTAAACACTAAAAATAAATGTTTTAGTGAATTAGAAAAATGTTTAGATATACTACAGGGTAGAGCTTATGATAATACACTACCTTATACAATGACAGTTGATAATAAGGTGAGTACTAACTAATTCTTTATGCTATCATAAATATTAGTGTTATATATGAATTTCTATAAATTTCTTTGGAAAGATTACTGAATAACATCGGTAGGCTATGAACATTCTCACAACTAGAATTCAAATGGACTAAATTTACTAGGTACATATGATGAGAAGATAGCTTGTTCATCCAATTTATCTATTAGCTAATGAGGTATCCTTGAAATTTGGCTAATCAAGGCTAAGTAGGCTCACTGTTTACTCAAAGTAAGTGGACTTGTACAATTTGACAGTAACTTTTATCATGAATTAATGTCAGCTACCAACAATCTAACTAAATGATACTGCCTGATTTAGAAATCAGTCGGCATCGTAAAATGGATTATTAGTTTTTAAACGGTGTCGTGGAGACAATTTAATTCGAAGTTTCATATCACAGAATGACTTCAATAAAAGTACAACTGAGAACCTGAAAACAGTAGACATCTGTTTCATCTTCGCAGCGAGCTTGAACTGATATCTAAAAGTTGTGAAAAAAGCAGTGATATCTGCCAGTAAGTTAAACCTGAAGGTTAAAAAGAATCAAGGGGTTTCAGTGACATCTACTGGACTGATAGATGCTCAGACACACATCTCGTCTGGCTCTGAACACGATGAGGAGCGAAGTCAGCTTAATCACAGGCTTATAAAAAGCCTACTAATAATCGTGAGCAGTGATGAGTAGTAAAAGCAACAAATGAAAAAGGCTGCTGCATTAAGTAACGCTAGGCAGTTGTTCAGCTTTAACAAGGAAATCGGTATTAAAAATCAGACTTTTAACAAGATTTGGAAATGACGCCATCCCGAAACAACCAGATTGGCGAACTGCTGTATGTCTTGCAACTCTTAATAAGACTGGAAAGGCTATAGGCAATCTAAAACGAAGGAGAGCAGTGGGCCCCGATAGGCTTATCCCTGGGATTTCTAAGGATGGATGTCCAATTTTAGCAGTTAGATTGACTGAGATCTTAGAATTTGGGAACTGGGCTTAATTCCATCTGACTGGTCTCAATCCCTGATTATCCCAATTTATAAGAAAGAACAAAAATTCCTCTTGTGACAATCACAGATGAATTAGTTTAATTAACATAGTGTTTAAAATTTAGTTTTAATAATACTTCGATGCCTACCTAGAGTTTGTGAAGAGCAGACTGGAAATCACCAGGCTGATTTCAGACCTGAACGTGGCTGTATAGACCATATTTTCACACTACGACAAGTCCTGGAACACAGACACAGACTCAGACGGGCGACAATAGTTGTCTTCCTGGACCTTAAAGCGGCATTTGACTCTGTTGATCATGAGGTTCTGTGGCAGTGTCTGTCACTGAAAAGAGTACAAAAGAAGTACATTGACCTTATACAGGCTATCTACTCGAACTCTATTGGTCAAGTGAGAGCTTATGGCGAAGTGTCATAGGAAATTTTACTTTAAGTGATGTCCTACAGGGTTGTCCACTTTCTCTCTTCTTGTTCAACTTTGGTTGACTTAGAATATACCGATGATATAGTCCTATATGGTGAAGATGCTGACAAAATGCAGAGTCTTTTGACCACGTTAAGCAACAATGCAAGCATTTTCGGGATGTGATTTTCCTCCTCGAGATGCAGAATGTTGCTTCAAGATTGGCTTGTATCGGTACATGAACTAGTGATAGGGAATGAAGCAGTTTTGCATGTTGACTTGTGAGAAGGCAGCATCACTTCAGATTCTGGGTGTCCGAGGTAAACGGCTTACTGCTATCACATCCCTATACAGTCAGCAGTAGGACTATGCCCTCAGATCTTAGGTTGCTTCTTGTAGTCTTACCACTCTCCACTCGACCTGCCTGACATGGTAGGATATGAAGTAACGGGTCTTCCAGCTATTATAGCTCGGTTGAGTCATCATGATAGGGAAGTCTGACCACCACGTTAAGGAAGCAGCCACGGTCAGGTAACAATTTGTTTGATATGATCCTTTTTCATCTTCCTTATTGTCACGATAGCTGTTTTATACCTATAATTTCAATTTTGTGTAATAAGATGTTCATCTGTTCTTCTGAGTTTTTGACACTCAGTAATCTCGGTAAATACGTGCAATTATTAGCTTAGTTGTGAAAGAGAACTTAAACTGTTTATGACTGTTGCTTTGTTATTTCCTTTTTTATTGATCATATTCGAAATTTCCCATAAAAAATTCACATAACAATTACATCGGAAAAAGACATACATATAAGGAATGGGAATTGGATTTTTGTTGTCAACTATCCTGAGAATTTTTAACAGCCACGTGATTTAACATAAATACATTCCATGGATTGTAACAGTATCTTACTGATTATGACGAAACCACTGACACAACAAAAATTATTAGAGTATTTAGAATGATTGAATGGACAGTTTACTTTGTGAGTTAGTCCTCACATCCGAACTGTCAAAGAATTTCGATTAAACAAAACCACCAACTAAACGACAATATATATATATATATATATATATATATATATATATATATATATATAACATTTATAGTTGTACTAGTAAACAGACGGAAATTCAGAACCCTCGATTTCTTAGTAATTGACAATCGTCAACAATGCATTTGCAATCACTTGAATTAACGCTCCTCGTGGGTTTCGCTCAAGTAGTTCCAGTTAATATGAGTGGTGTTTACAACTGAGTAATTAATCAATCTATGTAGTTGTATGGAACTTGAATATTTTTTTTCAGTGCAGTATGACTTATAAGATGATGAATGATAAAATAAGAATGAAAATAATCTTCACAAAACCAATCATCCTATTTTATTAAGAATAAAATTTAATATAATCAGTCATAATTCGAATGATGTGTGATAAATCATTCAGACATTTTTTTTATCAAATCAACTTATGTCATCACAAATTACATCTTTATTTGTGTGACTCAGTAATTTTCAAATATTTAATATTAATTATATATTTTTTGATTATTCTTATACAAGTAGAAGATGTGAAGAGAAGTGTTGAAATTTTTGAAAAGAAAGGAAATGTACACATACTCATACACATCTAATTTATTTTGATGTTTTTTATTCTTATTTATATGTGTTAAACGTGGGAATTGTGGATAATTGAAAATAAACGGTATTATAATACTATTTTAAACTATATCCTCTAAGCAAATATCAATTATGTGTGTACTATGATTAGCATCATATATACATAAAGTAAGCATTAAATTAATCGTAACCTATAATCAGATTATTGTAGCAGTAGTAATGTCTTCAGTTAATTTAAGAGAAAATCATTATTTAAAAGAATATCGAATTGTAGTAGAAGATACAATGATTAACAATATTGGAAATAAAATTGAATTGGAAGATACTAAAATAGAAGGAATTTAAAAGTGTTGAATACCATGATTATTACTGCTATTATTCACATCAATGATAATAGTGTGATCTTGAGTTTCAGTATTCTATGATGTTTCTATCTTTCCATTTCATTCTGTTAAACTCTATTCTAAACGTTTATTCTCTCGCTGTCATTGGTACCATGGTTATTTCGATTTCTTTGCTATTTATTTTATTGATTTTATGTAATCAAAGTGATATAATATGGTAATTTGAACTAACGTATAGTTACACCAGAATTTAAACTAATTATCATTGACTGACCCGTTATAGGAGTGAAATCACTTTAAATCTATTCGTTCCAAGTATAAGCTTTTGCACCAGTGTATCAGCTTTGTGGATAGCATCAAAAAGAATAATTGTCATTTTGAATGGATTGTCAAAGTGATCAGTTCAATGAAAGGTTGTTTTTCGTTACTTGTTTACGTGTGATCATCATCCTTTGAAGTTAACAATTATGACAAGATTATAAACAATTTCGTTAGAACACTATTTATGAATTATGTTAGAAGTAAGAAAATTATCTAGCTCATCTTTTATATCATGACTCATATCGTTGAAATGAAAGACTATATTCAATGGCCTTTAAGTTTGAAAACTTTTGGAGTCTAAAGTTTATTAATGCTTTTCTCATCACATCCCAATGGATGTTATAAATGAAGGCCATGTTAACAAGACATATTACTAGCACACTGTTACTTGTATTGTAATCGATTGGTTATTGTTTTCATGCGATGTGATGATTTATTTTGGGTCACGATGAAGAATGATCTACGAGAATAATGTAACTTTATGCGGTTAGCATTATAGATGTACACCGACTAGATTGGGTCTTAATATCAAACACAAAGAACCTATCTATGTAAATATATAATCTACATAAAGTTTGTGGATAGAGTGTAATATTTTAGTGATATTTATAAGCATATAAGCAAACAGCTGTGCTGAAAAATTTTGTATAACTCTAGATCACTTGAGAACTGTACTACTTTCAAGCCTTACAACTTTGTCTTTGAAGAATCCACACCTAATCTCACGTAGATAGGAATTATGAAATATGAGATATCCCTAACAGCAAAAGGAAGTCTTTAGAATTCTTAAGCTTATGAATTAATATTTATTGTATTTCTTATGTATCAATCACAAGAAGGATTATCTAAATCCAGTAACAGATGAAAGAGTAGTGGCTCGGTGTTTAATTTGTTCAACGTCCACCCTGATCTATTTACTACGATTAGGGAAACGGGATATTGTCATTATCGCTCACATTTATAGTGATATTTCAGTGAAGTATATAAGCATAGAAAAGTCATCAGCTAACACAATTCAACAACTGAAAAGATGAACATATCTCATTATCTTTTCATGAATAATTAAAACTGTTATATCCGCGTCACCCTATTACTTACACTTAAAAACGAAGAACCACTATAATCTTTAGGATGTAAGGTGTGAACACAAAAGACTGGTACAACTGAACATGACTACCCTAGGCAAAAATACATGTTCACTGTATACATAGATTTGTACGTTGACTTGATTCTTAATTAAAAGAAAGTCACATATACGAAAATGTCCGAAATTATCACAAAAGCTTATGCTTTTTGTTATGCTGAACATAGTTTACGTTGATTTAATACATAGAATACCATAGTGAATAAAAATTACAATGAAAATCAACTAATCTCATGTTGAGCAAACTATTACACTGAAAATGAAACGAATATTATACTGAATTAAAAAACAACATCATTTTACCTTTCGATCCCGTCATATCAAAAACAAATAATTCATGCTAGTGTAAAGTTCCGTTGAAATATCATTTCCAAAAAAGAAACATTTTACTGATGATCACTGACTGTTTACACTTGTATTATGCACTATCGCAAAGATCTCTGCACCATTTCACATAAATTATAGTTCTCAATTCAGCTTCTCTAGTTTAATTTTTTAATTTAGAGTTAAAAAAATTTTTCATGTGACATGTTACATGAAATTGTTTTATTGACAAATAAAATATTTTACAGAATGTATATATAACTCCAATTAATGTTTACAAATTATTGGAGATAGATATGACTTTGTGAAACAAATCCTCTATTGTTATTTGTGCATATTTACATTTTAAATGAATATTGTCCTTATTATTTTATTGTATTTTTATCATAATTAGTGATTAAGAACTAAATAAATGGAAACTGTAAGAATGTTATTTTTGTAAAAGAAGTTTCTCTACCACAATATATATGTCAGAGAGATATCTGTTACATTGTTTACACTATCAAGTGGTTTATATTTTCAAAGTTGGTGTATCATCATTTTTCGTAATGCGAATGTACCTTTACTTATACTTAATGAGGACTGATTATTTTTAGTTAACCTCTGATATCTTCTATATATGTTTAAATGAGAAAATGTCATGACTAGCTGATTTACATTATGAAATTTGTGATATTTTAACTATATATTCTCCTATTTGTTTACACAGACTTTGTATAAAAAATGTTAGTTAATCAGTCATAAGAGAAGAACTTTTGATATATGTATATATAATATGGGTTCGAATTACCGTATCAAATCAGTACAATCAAATGAAATAATAAAGATGACTTTTATAGTAGTAGAATCAACAACAGTTTCGATAATAATAGAAAAGATTAGGCATAAGCAATATGATTTGTGTAGAAAGAATAAATCCGTTGAATAAAATGTATAAGCATTTAACCGTAAAGAATGAATGCATATACATCATAATTGTTTTTATTACGTATATTAAATATCTGTAAAATATCTTATTGTATTTTTTTTTCCAACTTGCTTCTTGTTTTTACCTTTCCTTACAGGATACCACTTCATTAACATCACCTCATCAATGTAACCTGAATGAAACATTTTCCGATTTCGGTGAAATGAATACTAAATTTACAGCTAATCATATTCCTTCAACCTTAATCAAATATACTACTACACATACATTAACAATGCCAACTTCATGTAATTCACAAAATTATTTCCATAATTTATCTTCATTATCCTCAACAGAACATCAACAAAATCAACGACAGCATTTCTCATATATGCCAGTAGTAGCATCTACTGAAAATAATCATCGTGAGAGTACAAGTGACAGTTTGATGACAACTACTCTAACTATGAATGGGATCAATAATTTCGATGATTTTGATTATCAACAAAATGAAAATCTTAGTACTCTTAATAATGATAATTTTCAAACTATACAAGAGTTAGGTCAATTTTTAAATTCAATTCAACAATCAGAACTTAATAGTTTTCAGAAAATTCTACAAAAACTTATATTTGATTACTGTAGTTCTGAAATGTCCATCAATGAACGATATCAGCATCAACAACAACGTTTTTGTACGACATTTGAAAGATTACAACGCCCTTCTTTAAATTCCGAGAGTAACTCAGATTTTACCATAGTTTGTCATCTTCTCACTCAAAATGATGGATCAAGCACTCCAAATACGGTTTTGCATAATTCTATAAATTCAATGGTCTCTTGGCAAATGATATACAATTCTACACATTTGCATCGTCTACTGAATCTCAGGTTTCCAGATACCGGTGAAACATTACTTCACATATCTGCAAGGTAAACTTTTTGTAAGCAGTCAAACTACTTATTAAATACAAGTAGTTAAATTCTACACTAGAAAACTCGGAATATTTGATAAACCATGAGTTAGATACTATTGATAGATTGTTCATTATGGGGATGATGATCATATTTTAACCTAGCCAAAAGTGTATTAAGGTTTATTATTTTATTCTGAATTCGATCTACATTGAATGAAATAGTTATAATAACTTTTATTATCTGGAAAAGAGTCTATTCTTAAATAGGTATCATTCTACCGTATAATTTCGTTTTCATCATTCACTAAAAATTATATTTTATTTGATATTCTAACCCATATATCATTAAAAGAATGAAGTTTCACATTTAGACAAACATATTATAGTGTTTGGTAACGATGATTAGAAAACTAATTCTACTCTATCTAATTTGATATTATTGTGTTAGTACTGTTACATTTGACACTGATCAACCCAATTAGAAGCATCATTTTAAAATTAAGCGACATATGCTAACTGAATAGATTCTTTCAGCCACCCTATCCATACGATATTCTGACCATTTCGCAATTGCATACAATCAATTTAAGGTAAATGCTATCAGTTTAAAGATGATAAGATAGAACAATTTTAAGTCCATGTTTTTTTTCTGTTGTTTTAAACGGTATTTGTTTCAACCAAATGAACAGTGTTTTAGTTCAAATTCTCGATGATGGTACACTTTGTCGAACACTGAGTTCGAGAAAAAGTTATAACTATTGATATTCACTTTTCTCTTGCAACCTATTTTTTGAGGAAACGAATTTTATTTTCTTTATTTAGATTTAATCAAAATAAAGCTGTCTATAATCTTTTAAACGCTGGAGCAGATTTCTCTGCTGTTGATAATCAAGGTCGTACAGCACTTTACACTGCAGTTAGTGTGAATGCAGTTGAATCAGTTCAAGCTATTCTCAGTCATCCAACATCGAGTTTAAGTCCATTCTGTTATTTGCCGAATGTATTACAAGATTCAACAACACCACTTATACAAGCAATTAAATTAGGAGATATCGGTAAAAAATAATTTCATAACTGATTTATTTCTTTTCGCCTTGTATCATTAAATATATTATTATTATTATTAATTAATTTAATTGGACATAAAATTTCTCGTATGATTTGACTCACGTGACTTATTTTATTGTATTAGTTGCAAACTGACACCTTATAATGAATTCTTCGAGTTTATCTCAAAACCATATTTTGACTTTACAAATAACTCATTTTAAATATATTTAGTATATAAACATTGTTTGATTTAGATATTTTCCCTTTATAATACAATAATAATAGATTTATAACTAACTATAAAGGCTACCAATGAAGTTATTGGAAACAATTGTTCACTGAAGTATTTCATGTTTTTGAATATGTCAGTTACAACTTAGAACGGCGTGCGTACGTACGTCAGTTCAAGTTGACATACCGCATTAGCACAGAGACATAACTGTATGTTCAAATCCCATCGTGGTAGAGATAGGAGAAGCATTAGCGGTTATGAAGAAGATTAGGGATCGAAGGTATTATTCAAGAAGTATAGTTCGGTGAAATAACTTTAGAAAGAGGAAGATAGAGGTGATTAGGGATTCAGGTTAGTATTTAACAGAACACAAAAAGTGGATGCACCCTGCGCCATTGCAAACGGTTTTAAGCCATGTCGTCAAGGTCTCTAACCATGGTTACTATTGTCTCACGACCCCAATCAGACAGTCTACACTTACCAGCGCGTATACGTATAATAATGTTACTGACAAGTAAAATTGTATGATTTCTGTTTCGCCTACATTTATCCTCTATCATTCACGATTCATAACACTACTGTCAAATGACAGTCTGATTGTAAATATAATCCAGATTATTAAATTTGAATTCTTATTATTTTATCAGTTTCTAAAAAGTAGATTAGAATGATTAAAAGGTAATCAGAAAAAAATTTGAGCAGAACACACATATTGAAGAGTAATTGTAAATGCAGTGAACGATTACTCATAAGAAAACTACAATCTCATTAATTAGCTAAGTTGTCTGAGCTCAGAGAACGAAACTCCATCATAATCACATACCTGAGCTACAGATTTACTACACCTCAGTTTAAATATGTCTTGTTTGCTGCAAAACGTCATAAATCCGAATACGATTTTATGCATATATTCATGGGTAGGGATTTCTGAACAATCCCAAAATTAAAAAAAAACAGTTTTCAATTGTTTTCCTCACCTTCAGTAATTCCCTAGTTAATATAATTTCATAATAGAAACAATCACTTGCCAAAAGTTCATCTTCACTTTTTATTTTTATAAGTGTAATATTGTACATTTATTAGCCCAACGATTATTGATTATACCTCATGTTTGATAAATTTATTTCCATTAATATTGAAATGTAACTTTATCACTGAACTATATTCATATGTGTATGTACTGATTATTTAAATATATATAACCTAATTATGTCCTAAGAGAAAGTAGTAATTCATTGTTACTGGATCATAGGAACGGAAGCGAGGATTTCTTAAATAATTATTTATACTATAAATATACATATAATCCATTAAATTCTGACATTGTTATATTCTCTTCTTAAACACTGTTTTTGTTTATCTATTACACAGATATATTCAATATGTTATTACATGCAATGAATGTATTAGTTTGTGCATTGACGAAAGCCAATATTTCACGTGGTCAAGAATATACAAATTATGATATAATTGGAACATCAAACGATTTACTTCATATTCAGTCTGCATCATCATTATCAACTGGAGCAGCAGCATCATCATCTCCACCAACTGCTAACAGTGGTGTAGAATGTAACTACGAAGAGAATACTTTGAATTTCCTTGATATTAACACTTCGGATAGCTTAGGTCGAACAGCATTACACTGGGCAGCTGTTACAGATCAATCGGATGTTATTCATAGTTTATGCAATTCTGGTGCAACTGTAGACGCACAAACATTACATGAAGAAACTCCATTGGCATTGGCATGTAGAGAGGGTGCGATGACAAGTTGTCGTTCATTATTGCTAACTGGAGCTAATTTGAATTTAGCCGATTATTTAGATCGTACACCGAGGGATTTAGCTTATTTAGGTGGACATTATGAGA